GAAAGTAAGGCGATGAGTATCTACACAGTGAGACTGTGAGCTCCTCTACAAAAAACAGTAACTCCAAACTGAAGTACAGTAAAAGGTTTTGAAAATAAAAAAGGCCACTATTTCAATAAGAAAAATAATAAATGTAGTTGATAACAATGACAAATATATCTTTTGTTGACATGAAAGAAACTCGAAAGCAAGTACAAACATTTATGGGTATTCTTATATTCTCATTCAGACAAAAATTATATTTCTTCCTCCTATTTTTGTTGCATGAAGAATATTCAAAGGAATGCACTACTTTCAATTAACCCCATTTATGCTAAACTAACAAAAGATGCTTGACTTGACAAGAGCAACATCAAAGTCTCTAGTTCTTCGCAAGCATAAAGAGAACACCTATGTTCTCCGTCATGCAACGCAATCGACGTTAACCTGGAATTACAGCAAATTTTTGTTTGTTGTACATCCATATAAGATAGTTTTTGAATCAGCTTTATTACAATTCAAATGTTTATAACGAAGAGATAAAATGGGTCATAAATTTTGTCATATACTTGAAAGCAGTTAAAACTAAGATTTTATTAAATTTTGCGTTTGGTCTCAAGAATGTCTCACTCACTCATCATGTTTGGGCATCAGTAAATAAGTTGAAAACTTACTCTGAAAGCATTGAAGCTAAGCTATGCTTAAGGGCGATTATGCATTTCTGAATAATGATGTTTCGGAACATTCGCGTAATTACGGCTCGTATTCGCATCCATTTTTCTTCACATTTGCTATAATTGCTGTTTTTCTTAATGAACTCTCGAACCCAAGTCGATATTATTTCATGAACCGTTGAGTAAAGGAGTTCTTCACAATCCTGACGATAATTACTTTATACCTTTCTTTAATAAACCATTACAAACAGAAATCATATGCATCAGTACAATGCTGCTGAATTCATTCAGATGTCTGTAATAACAAAAATAATCTGTTTGTGAAGTTTTAAAAAAATTCAGCATCCTAACATAATTAATGACAGGTACATGTAAAAACATACACAGTTTGTTGTTACTAAACTGTATTGATGTAGTTTGACTAAACATCCTGCATAAATTTCTACCGTATCGAAAACTATCAGAGCGCGCTTTTGCAATGGAACATGAGACAAAAAATTGCTCAGATGACAGAATTCAGCACTAAGATTAGCATATAAATAACTGGGAGAGATATTTCCATTACTAAGCGAGCTGAAATAAAATTCCCTCTGTAAGTTCAAGTAAATTAAAGCTTAAATAAGAACAAAATCAAATTAAAAAAAAGATAAATCAATTTTGATGATTTCTTAATGCACAGATGTCTGTTTATAATAGATACATTCCCGGCGTTTCAAAAGCCTACTATAATATTATTAAACCAAAACAAAACATTTCTTTAAATGTAATTTGTTCTTCAAAATTTTAAAGCTCTAATATAAAAAATTTTGAGGAATAATTCAAAAAAACTTAATCATATTTAATAAAAAACAGAAACAGTATCCTTATTCCATCTGCTTATCTATGGAAACAAACATATTGAGATTTTTTTTTCGCTTACTTAAAATCACTATACAATTCAGAGATATTACCTGAATAAACTGCTCAAATTCTCTAGTTTACACGCCCATTCATTCAGCTTGTTTCGAGCTACTTTTTCGACTGCGGATGTTTTTCTTGAACAGCTCCCAATGTTTTGTGGATCTGATTGCAACAAGTGAGTTTCAGCATTATTACTTCTGAAAACAACTTAAAATTAGTGACAGATAGTTAATACAGATAGAATTATTAGTAAAAACGACGGATCCCTCATTTTCGAACAATGCAAGCATGCGAAATAAAGTTATCTCATAGGATTGAAAAAAAAGCATGACTTTTATAACCAATCGACTTTTAATTGATTAATCATAACTACTCATTTTCTAGCTCCAATTCACTCTTAAGTGCGGTTCATGATACAATACATTGAGCACTTGAATTAAAAAAGTGGGAAAACGACCTCATATGCAATGGTTCATCTTCTCTTGGCGGCATATGATCGTTTTCTACATATTCGTCATGAACACTATGTGTGTTGCTTGATAGGGAAATGCTTTGAGCATACTGTTGATCTTGATTGGAAAGTTGAGAGTACTCCAACTAAATTTTCGATGATATGCAATTACATTCTAATTAGTTTCTAAGTTGGCATGAAAATAAACATAGCAAATAGTAAAACGATGATGACTGCACTTATCTACTTATCTTAAGTTATGCAAAGTACCTTAAAATACAATAAAAATGAAAAGCACTTTATGAGAAAAATTCTATAAAATGATTTTCAAATCTGTGTACTGCAATATTTACTTATGACATCATTTCATCATTTTTTATCGTTCTAAGATCAAAAAAGTTAGTCGTTATTTCACTGTTGCAATAATAAATCACAGTAACATACAAACTTAACTTTCGGTACTGTAATTAAAAATTTACTTGATGACGAAATGCTAATAAGTAATGCGCATATGCACAAGCAAGATCCAGATCCACAGGACTTAGAAGTTCCATTGTTAATGCTATGATGAAGTAGCGTAAAGTTAGCAATAAGTCCACGAAATATTACCACTGAAATGATATTAAATATCATGTTTATACACATATGTCTACAGAAATAAACTGTATGAACTGTATCATATTCTCTAAATACATATATACATGACTTTGCAATGCGTGATATTTCATGATTAACTGCTTATGAGCTCTTCAAAAAAGTTTACAGTAAAGTCCCATTTGTTACAACTAAACTCATAGCAAGTAAAATAAAGTGAAACTGAACTACTTTAATCATTTACTACTGACTAACTCATGAAAAAGCAGGATACATGCATATTATTTCTACTATTACTTGTGATACATAGCCAGAAGTATCAGAAAAAATTTTTCAAGCATTTTACACTCCCTCTTCATTCCAGCTTTTCAAGAATGAACAAAAGTTATGCTTGATCCTTCTTCAAAAGTACAATTCATGTTGAAACAGCTTAAAATATAATTAATCCAGTACATCTAACTACAAATTTATGATCACCAATACAACTGCATCCCTTATCGTATACTTGTTCCGAAAACAAATCATGCATTAACTTAATGGCGCTTCCTTAATCCATTTGTCTTAATGATAGTGACTACCAATTACTATATACGGTCACTAAGATATATCGTAATATTTACTTATATTCGAATAGTATATACTTATATCTAAATAGCATACTTTGACATGTAGTGAACTGACTTATTATCTATCATTCTGTTAATCACTCTTGTCAATAAAACAAGAAAGTAGACGGTAATGTACAAGAAAGTAAGCAATGTGAAGTAAATTTATGCGCGAAATAAATACTTGAAATAAAAATTAATGCTTTACAAAGTGATAATAATACAAATTTGATTTGAGTACCTCAGAAG